GATTGGTTCAAAGAGGTGTTAAAAATGTGTGGAAAGTTGTTATTGAAACAATTCAAGCAGGTAATACCTTGAGTAGTCTAGTCCCGAGAATGTCCCGAGAATACTTCCATTTAATGTAGTTTGAATCAATTTAGATCTGAAACATGCACTTGAGGACCATACATGCAGCGCCAGAGTGTTGCTGCTGTCACCCGCTTACCGTTCGACTACTGCACCACTTGAGCGGCATATATATCTTGGGAAAATTTGTTTCCTTCTTTTGATGCAATTTTTTATCCTCTTTCCATCTAAAACATATTTTTTTGGATCTTATATATACTCCACAAAATTCTTGGTTCTTATATGATTTTGTATCAGTTTTAGAGAGTTGGACAATATTGTAAACAAAACATATTTGTATTCTTTCTTCTCGTTATAATAAATTCTCAATTCCTCTGTCAATTGTTATTATCTTCTTCTAGTGTTGTAATTGCTATTTCATATTGTGCCATAGAATCTCGTCCTTATTTCCTAAGAAGTGGTATCAAGCTTAATGTTTGATTTATTCGAGATTTTTTGTTCCTATGATGGCAATCATAAAGTATGTTATTCTATTCTTGGATAGCAGCACTAAATTCTTGTTGTGGTAGGTGAAGATGCGAGCAATACTCGCTCAGATGGATTTGGATGATACTTTATTGGAATTGGACAAGATGCCCTCAAATGGACGATGGAGGAAAAACAAGATAAGGATCGAAAGACCCTATCATAGATTCATCTTTGTCTTTCGAATCAAATTCTTCATGACGTTTTGAAAAATAAAATTGCAGTTACATTACAGTTGAAGTTAGAGCAATTATGCATGACGAAAAGTATAACTATCAAATTGCATTTAAAGCAACGTTTGTATTCTCATCGTATAACAGAGATACAACCTTAGAAAATCACATTGTCATCTTTAAAGAAATTGTCACTCATTTGGAAACCTTGAAAATTAAGTATGATGAAGAGGATTTGGGTTTGATTTTATTGTGTTCGTAGCCTACTTCATTTATGTCGTTTAAAGACACAATATTATATAGTCATGATACTTTTACTATTGAAGAAGTATATGATATTTTGTTTTCAAAAGAGAAGATGAAACATCTTGTTAGATTTGATGTTCAAGGAGAAGACCTTATTGTTCACGGTGGTTATGAAAAGGGCAGTTCGAAGTCTAACTTTAATAATAAAATTTGTAACTATTATAAGAAGAATGGGAACATAAAAAAAGATTGCTATAAATTGCAAAATATAGAAGAATAGACTCCATATCGAAAGGGAAAGCAACCACATACTTTAGACGAAACAAATATTACAGAAAATTGCTACAACGACGAAGAACTTTTGGTTATATTTTACAACGACTTCAAACCGACGATGATTGGATTCTTGATACAACTTGCACTTTTCATATGTATTCTAATCGAGATTCATTTTCAACATACGAAGAAGTTTCGAAAGGTGTTTAGTTAAGAGAAACAACGCACACTGTAAGGTAGCTAGTGTTGGAAGGTTTAGACTTAATATGTTGGATGGAACGGTTAGAACACTTGATGAGGTGAGACATATTCCAAATTTGAAGAGAAATCATTTCTCCTTGAGAAATTTTAATTTAAAAGGGTACAAGTTCACTTGTGAAGGTGAAGTTCCAAAGATTTGTAAATGTATCCGTGTTGTGTTGGAGTGATAGCGAAAGTCCCATTTGTATGTCTTGCAATGTTGTGCAGAATTTTTGAAGATCAATCAACAAATGATTGGTACTTTGGTGAATATTCAATTTGGTACAGTGCCGTTAGAGTTTGGTTTATAGTCTATGTTGAAGAATACAACTCAATCGAGTTCAAAAGTTACGGATAATCCTGCTTTGCCACCACCACTAGTAGTACCATCATATTCAATTGCTGCAGACAAACCCATGAGAGATATTAAGCATCCACAAAGCTATAAGGAAGCTGATTTTAATTTTATATACTTTAAGTATGGTTGAAGATATTGAGTCCAGGAAAAAATCTTTGACAAAAGCAGTTTGTAGTGTTGAATCTATTACAATGTGTGCTTTTGCCTTGTTTCGTTGCACAAGTAATAATCATGATGAGAGAGTTATCGTCCCACAGGGAGTAAATCTTAATTTTAGTGTATTCGATATATGTAAATTCGTGATTGTGATCAAATATGTTTGATTTATATCTAACCACGTTTTATAGCTATGTGAACAATGAATATTTGTTTAAATTAAAAGTGATGAATGTATTGGATTTCTGACTCCACTAATCGACTCTTAACTTCAATTCTCAACTTGTGATAATTAGTTCAATCCTTGCAGTTGTGACAATCGATAATTCCACTTTTATTTACTATTCTTTCCCAAAATATAATAAACCTATATTTATCACAATACGATCATATTCCTAATCTGCATTCATATGACAAACATGCATTGAAATTTAGGATTATCACACACGATCACATACTTCATAAATATTATTCATAATATTTATCATTTATGTGTTCTATAAATAGTGTTCTACCTATCGTGAATTTTTCAACACTACGAATAAGCAACTTATTTCCCTAATGGCGCGCAAGCATTAAAACAATATGAATAAGAATGTTTCTGGAATCACAACGCGAGAATTAAATTAAAAACAACAAGTCTTGAATTAAAAACTAAAAATCAAAGAGTTTCATTATCCATCCAATACAATTAAACTTAGCATAGCATATTGATATAATAAATACACAGTAAACAAAAGGAAGCTATCACCCGAATCATATAAATGTGAAAAAAACTCTGGAAATCTTCACTTCACGCTTCCAAATTCGGATCTAAAAGATGAATTCCTTCTTCTTTGATGTGAGTTTTCTTTCTTTTCTGCTAAAAAATACCGCTCTCCCAAATCAATCTTGAAAATTAAGCTGTTTTATCTTTGATTTTAGATTAAAGTTCCTAAATCAATCTTGAAACCTCGTGCTAAGTGGAAGAGAAGTCTCGCTTTGGCAAAGTTGAAAGTAGACCTATACAATGTGGGCTCAATATTGTGGTAGATAAATTTCATTAACACTGTCCTGCGTTAAACCACAATATTCATCAATTACCTTGGGGGTCAACATCACCCACTTATCCCGGATCAAGGTTTAGTGCTCGTGGTTAGATTCCAGACCGTCGATTTGTCTGTTAACATTTGCATAAAATTCCTGAACCAAAGTAGGATATACCCGATGTGGTTTTCCTATCATCCCTGCCCACCGTGCTTTGCCAATAAGAGTAGAAATCTCATAGCCCTCAAAATCGTCCAGAACAACGTCCCTCCCTACATCCAAAAGCTTTAATACCTCTTTTCTTACCATTTCCTGCATAGTAGGATTTAATCTGTGTTGATGCTCATTCGAGGCTCTGTGATCATCCTCCATAGTATCTTGTGCATGCAAAGGGAAAAGTTGATCCCCTTTTATATTTGAGATGGTCCATCCTATCGCTGTCCTGTGATCCCGAAGCACCCTCAACAACTGATCTTCATCTAATTCTGTAAGATTATTCGAGATAATTACCGGAAGTAAATTCTTCTCTTCCAAATATGCATATCGAAGATGAGAGGATAGTTGTTTAAGTTCAAGGGTTGGAGCTT